CCCCCTTAGGCGACTTTCCCTTTATTGACAAAAAACAAGACAAAAAATGGCTATTCTGGGATTGAAGAGATGGCAAGCCAGTTAAGAGGGCATTCTGTCTTGGCAAATGTCTGGGATGCCATTGCCAGTACCCACATCTGGTAGTTTACAACTGCTAGTAACCCCAGCTCTGAGGGGATCTCACACCTCTGGCCTCTGAGGGTACACACACACAAGCATATGCACACACACAACTTAAAACAATAAAGCTATTTTTTAAAAAAGGATTACCCTTCCACATTCTCGGTAGGTAGAATCACAAGCACAATAGATGGGGTGGGTCATTAGTGACAATATACACCAGCAAGAAGCCTGGAGTTTGGATCCCCAGGACCCACACGGATGTGGGGGCGGTTATCATGTCTAGGCCCACAGGGAATTTCAGTAACTAGACAGAACCGCCCAGTTCAGTCACTTTATCTAGAGCAGTAAATCCTTCTGACCCCATTTTCCAGAGGGGAGACTGAGGCTTGGAGCATTAATAGCCCTTGCTGAGAGTCCCATGCCAAATACACCGTGGCAGAATGCCTTGAACCTTGCAAGGTTTCCTTTCACGACTCTTTTTGTTTGAGTTCCAGATTTATTGATTTTATATGTATAAGTGATTTGCTTAAGAGAGCGCATGCGAGAAAAACACTCAGAGACATAAATCTTAAAAAAAAAAAAAGTTTGCCGGCACTGTTGGTGTGTGGACCACATGTGAGCCTAGTGCCCTCAGAAGTCAGAAGAGGGCAGTGGGTCCCCAGGAACTGTAGTTACAGTTGGTTGTGCGGGTGCTGAGAATTGAACTAGGGTCCTCTGTGAGAACACAAGTGCTCTTAACTGCTGAGCCATCTTTCCAGTCCGCATCCACCCAGAGCTCAGAGCTCTTGTCCTGGTGGTGCGTGCGTGCGTGCGTACGTGCGTGCGTGCGTGTGGTGGGGAGGGATTCTGGGGTTGAGATCTGGGTGAGGAGCTCCTGGAGTATGAGTTATGTCTGTGCCTGCAGATGGTGGGCCAGACGAGATTATCAGGTCACAATAGTTAGCGCTGAAGAATTACAGTCTGCGCTACAAGTGACACTCCGTTAAATTCATTTTTTATTATTGTGTGTGCGCATGATGTATGTGTGGGCCCGTGGGCCATGATGTATGCATGGAGGGCGGAGCAGCTCTTTGGAGGTGTGTCTCTCCTTTCCCCTTTGCATGGGATACAGGGATCACATCCACATGACTAGGCTTATGCAGCAAGCACCTGTACCAGCTGAGCCACTTGAGGCTCTCTGTGGGGGCACTCAAGTCTACCAGACAGGTCCCCTGCCCCAAACCTCGGTGCCTTGGACATGCTAGGCAAGTATTTGATTGCTGAGTCACACCCCCAGCCCCTCACTGGGGGATTCTAGACAGGGGCTCTACCACTGAGTCACACCCCAGCCCCTCACTGGGGGATTCTAGGCAGGGGCTCTACCACTGAGCCACACCCCAGCCCCTCACTGGGGGATTCTAGGCAGGAGCTCTACCATAGTGGCATGCACCCAGGCTCCTACTAGAGGATTCTAGGCAAAGGCTGCATAACTGAGCTACATCCCCAGCCCCATTTTTATTTGTTTATTCATTTTACTTTTTTTTTTTTAATTTTTGAGACAGGGTCTGGCTATGCAGCTCAGGATGGCCTTGAACTTTCAGTCATCTCACCTTAACCTCTCTCTACAGCTGGGATTACAGGCAGTTTTTTTTAATGTCTTCAAATAACTCCCGAGGTTGGATTTTCTTCCAGTTTCTTGCCCCGAGTACATCCTTTTCCTCTCAGTGGCATTTGTCACCCAGCAAGGTATCCAGACACCTGTCAGAGGAGCCACTAGCTCCTGTCCCTCCCACCACCATTGCCCTCACGAGGTTTGTTTGGTCTGCTATCACCTGTGATGCCCTAGTCGAGCCCTTCACCGCTGTGAACCTTAGTGTCCTCTTTAACAGGGCATCTGCCATAGACTCTGTCCCCACAGAAGAGCCAGCCTCGCAAGTTCAAATCATAGTCCTGTTTCTCCTTAGCTGAGTGTTCTTGCCCAAGTTCCCAAGCCTTTCTGTGCTTCAGCCGTTAATTTGAAAGATGGGTATCGGAATTGGAAGTATCCAATAACCCATGTCCAATAGTTTCCACAATACTTCCTGGCACCATAAATGTTAGCCGTGACTATAATTTATTGATATTTTTGCATCATAGCATGTGGGGAGAATGAGATAGAATTGCATGCCAGGCATTAAGCAATGGTATGCTAGCCATTATGACATCAGGGTCATTATTGTTAAAGTCTGCATTTGGAAGCTGGGGACACAGAAGCTCAGAAAGGGTTAGCCAAGCATCTCACAGTCACCACTGTCCTCCACTGAAAGAAACCAGTGAGCTGGGTGGTGGTGGTATACGCCTTTAATCCCAGCACTCGGGAGGCAGAGACAGGCAGATCTCTGTGAGTTCGAGGCCAGCCTGGTCTACAGAGGGAGTTCAGGATAGGCTCCAAAGCTACAGAGAAAAACAAAACAAAACAAAAAAGAACCAGCAATTTTGAGATCAAAGTCACCAATACTTGCCTTGCTCTAGGGTATTTTTCTCAATAGAGGACTGTTCTTTTGTATTTCCTGGCCTCAGTTTCCCCAAATACAGTCTGAAGGTGGAGAAGGGTCTGCAGGCTATAATCCCTAAAGACTCCACTTAGTTTTGCCACTGTAGAAGGAAACATGAAATCCCAAGTCTCCCTGACTTGCAGCCAGTGAGTCCAGAGTTCAATAAATCCTGGATCTGCCACTTAAGAGCCCTGTGACCTTGGATAAGCTGTTTCATCTCACTGAGCCTCGGTTTCCCTCACTGGTCAACACACACACACACACAGAGAGAGAGAGAGAGAGAGAGAGAGAGAGAGAGAGAGAGCCCCACACACCTTCGATAATCTCTTCAGGGGTTGTATTGAGAAATCCACCCAGATCTCAGAGCCTGCCTGGTAGGAGTGAGCGCCACGCCACAAGCAGCACTGGAAGGGACTTTCGTTAGCAGTCACTCATGACAATTGCCGCCTAGCCAAATCTGGGTTCCTGATCCTTTCTGGGACTGGCAACAGCAGCAGGCAGGAAGGAAGAAAGGAAGCCGGCTTTGGACATTTTCATGTGTGTGCTGGGGGTGGGTGCAGGAAGACTGGGCAGGAAATTCTCTCCCACCCTCCCCCAACTTCCCTTTCCTTCAATTTCTGCTGAGCACCCTCCCAGGCATTCAAGGGATCTTGGAATTCTGACCCACCTGACTTGAGATGAGGTGGCCTGGGTTGAGAGAAAGAAGTGGGGGCTCCCTGTATTCCAGGGGAGGCAGTGGGGAGTCGGCACCTGACTGTCAGTGAGCCAAGCTAGAGGAAGGTTATAGACACTCTTTGCTCAAGACAAGATGAAGAGGGGATTTTAAGATCACGTGAGAGAATCTATCTATTTTGGGGTCTCCTTCCTATCAGAGAGCCGGAGAGCTCTGAGGATCCCCCTTCTCTCATGGCCTACGTTTCCTGCACCCACTAGCATCAAGGGTAGCACCTCGAGTCCCCTGCTTAGCGTGGCCTTTTCTGCTATGCACACACACTTCTCGCAGATGATACACATAGAGGGTCTGTCCGTTCTGCGTTGTCCACACGTCTCTGAGGTGTCTAACATTGAGTTGTCTCACATACACACGCACACACGTTGTCACACCCCACATCTTCCCTGCAGCTCTGGTGTAACACACCCAGCTATTCTACACACACCTCCCTGTGTTACATACACATCATCTCCCAGATCCAGGGTGTCTGTCCTTAGCATACATCCCTACTCACTTGGAAGTCCGTTTTTTGCTTTCCTTATGAACACACCCTCAATGGGTTTCACTGAACCATAAGCTCCAGCTCTCTTTTCATACCCTCAACCACCCCCAGTTACACACCCCCTCTGATGTCACCGTTGCACACCTCCATGTGTCACACCCAACCATAGCCTCTCTGGAGTCACACCCACACCCTTTTCCTTGTCACATCCCCGCATCAGCTTTTCCTGGTCCCACTCCACCCCATACGCATCGGTAACCCACATGTAGCACCTTTCCCCAATCCACACATATTCCCATGGTTCACACCCCGAGTCCATCCTTTCTGCCTCCCTACACACTCCCTTGCATGTCACACACACCCCTCTCACTCATGTGTCACAGTACAAGAACCCCCTCCGGAGTGACAAGCACATACCTTCCCGTGTCACACATCCACGCTGGAGGGTCTCATATCCAGCCGTGTCTTTTACACACCCACTCACACCCACTACCCTGTCATATCCATGGTCTCTTAATGTCGCATATCCAGGCCCCACAGGCCCCACACAGATACACACACCTGTCCTGGCCTTTCATCTCTTTCCCCTCCAGTTTTACACACCCACCCTTTCCTCCATGTCACCCAACACACCCACCCAGCTTGTCCCCACGCATGGTCTCGCATACAGTCCACACCCGCCCCTTTCCGGGACAGCCCTTGCTCAGGACATCCCCAGGGAGGGAGGTTCAGAAGCTCCCGGTCCACAGGCCTGTCTCTACTCCTTCCCCTCCCCCAACCGGGATACGCAAACCCGGGGGAACACCCCTGTCCCGAAAGGGTCACATCACACACCCCTCAAGGACACACTGGCTCCAGAAGGGACCCACGCCCCTCATCCTTGACTCCCCCCCACCCCACAAGGACACTTACTACCCCCCTCCCCCCCAGTCCCTCTCATCGCAGACAAAGCTCTCAGCCCCAGGGGCCTCGGCGACAAGAGAAAGGGGTCCGTCCTGGTCCCCAGCTCCTCGCGGAGGAGCGCCCCTCCCCTCTCCGGAGCACTTGCACCTGCCAGCCAGGGATGGGGGGGGTGATGGAGGACGGCGATGCCCCCTTCGGCGCGCGATTCCCCCACGCCCCACGCCGCGGTCCCGCAGCCCTGCCTCACCTCCCGTGTTGCTGCGCTTGGTGCAGACCACCTCGGGGGGTGTCTCGAGGGGCCTCTTGCGGGAATCTGGGGCCTCGGGCTCCATGGGGGGGGCCTGGGGCGGCGGCTGCTGCTGCTGCGGCGGCTGCGGCGGCGGCGGCGGCTGCTGTGGCGGCGGGGACGGCTGCTGGGGAGGCTGGGGCTGCGGCGGCGGCGGCGGCGGCGGGGGCGGCGGCGGCTGCGGGGCCGCGGAGGCCGTGAAGAGGCCGTGCACCGCGCCGGCGGCCATCATCCTCATGGTGGGGGGGCGGGGGAGGGGGAGGGGAAGGAGGGGGAGGGGAGGGGGCGGTGAGGAGGGGGAGGGGAGCGGTGGGGAGGGAAGCGGGAGGGGGGAGAGCGCTGACAGAGCTGGGCGGACAGGGAAGAGCAGGGTGGAGAGGGTGGGGGGGGTATGGGATGGAGAACTGGGGGGTGGGGTCCTGGTCTCTCAAAGATCACCGAAGCCGGCACTTGGCTGAGCCAGTGGGGTGCAGAGGGGACAGGACACCCTCTCTGTGCCCTTTCTTGGTGGTTCCCCACAGATGCGGAGGGCCGAACCCCCCTCCCAAGGCCCTGTTCAGGGCGGGGGGCCGGAGATAAGAAGCGGAGGCGGCCGCTAGTGGGGGCCCGGGGGGCTGCGGGCGCGGGCGGCAGCGGAGACGGGGCTGGTGGTGGTGGCTGCTGGCCCGAGCATCTTCTCAGCCTAGGCTCCCACAGCGTCCTGGCCCCTCCCACTCGCGCAAGGTCACGCCCATGCCAGACAGGGCCACGCCCTTAGGCACCCTCATTGGTCCACTTTTGAAGCCTGGGCCACGGTCCTCCGGGTTGGCCACGCCTATCACTCTTAGAGGCGAGAGACCTGACTCCCCCCCCTGCAGGGTATAATAAGGACCATGAGGCTCCTCCACGCCTTCCTTCCTTACCCTTCACCCTTTTATTTGCCGAGGGGCAGGGCAGGACAGAGTCAAATGTAACCCAAGCTGACTTTGAACTCACTTTGTAGCTCAGGCTACCCTTGAACTCTGGATTCTCCCGCCTCCATCCCTCAAGTGCTGGGATTAGGGGGATGTGCGTGACAACCCTAGCTACTTTCCCCTTCTAAAGAGCGTTTCTTAATTTTCATTTAATCCTACAGGGAAACAAAGATGGGACGTACTTTTATTTATTAATCTGTCTTACAGCTGAGGGTACTGAACCTCAAAGACCTGAAACAGCCAAGCGTGGGTGCTCACTCACATAATCCTAGCACTTGACGGGAGGAGGCAGGAGAATTGCCTTGAGTCTGAGGTCAGACTGGGTTACAGTGTAAGACCTTTTGTTAAAAAACAAGCAACAACCCAAGCAACAAGAAACGAAACGAAACAAACAAACAAAACAAAAGAAAGAAGAAAAGGGAACAATGGCAAGTGGTCCCTATCACTGGTTACAACAAGAAATGTCCCTTCAAGTGCCATCTGACTGTCAGCAAGAAAATTCCCCTTTGGATTGTCCATCTATCCATGAAGAATGGATATAAGGCTACTGTTGGGCTCACAGGACTGAAATCAAGTTAAAACAAGTAGCTGTCACAGAAGCCAACTGGCACTCAGTTCTATCAACAGTACTGATGGCCCACCCACTGAGTGACAGATACTGCCCTAGACCCTGGGACACAGCACAGAACAAAACAGCCTTACTGCTTTGTAGAGTAAGTATTTTCATTCTGGTCACTCGATAGAAATTTTTGATTTTCAGATGACAGAGTGGAGGCCGCTTTCAGAAAGGCTTTCCCAAGGGCACACGGCTAGACAGGGAGAAAACTGGAATTTGGACGGAGGACAAGCCTAATTCCAAAGCCTGAAGCCATAGGAGATAGGAGGCGCTTTGTTGGAGTGGGTTGTTGCCAATAGTCTGTGTTCTCAGATATATGCGTTTTCTGCTCCCTAGCTGTCTGGTCTCCAGGGCTTTCTTCCTTTCTAGCTTGGTCAGAGGCAAGTCTAGTCACAGAAGGGTCCAGGAAGGGGTAGCTGTGGCAGCTGGGGGGGGGTCTGTGACACTAGGATCTGCTCCACTCCACTTGCCCCTCCCTTGCTGTGCTCTCAGGTCCCCAGGACAGTGGAGGCAGCAGATGGCCTAGGGTGGATGAGGTGGATGCCCATCTGTCCCCTCCCCCCATTGTCCCTTCAGCCAAGGGGGATGGGAGGGGGTTGTGGTCCACTGCAGTCTGGATCCTCCCCCTCTGTCTTCCTGGAGGGAGCTGAGGAGCTGGTTGCCATGGAGACAGAGAAGAGGCAAGAGGGGATGCAGGGAGATACTGAGGTTGGGCTGAGATCCACACCTTAGGAACTTAGCATGTCACAGACCCAGGGTACACAGGTGACATCTCCCGGCATCCATGGAGTTGCATGTAAAGTTCTTCCCTAACATACATACACAGTCACAGGGGCACACATTTCATACTGATTTAGAAAGACTGACAGGAGAGGACTAAGGAGACGCTTGTGTATACACACACACACACACACACACACACGCCCCTAAAATGCACACTCAGTCATTCAGACCAAAACCACAGCACAGGCTCCTACACACAAATAGATAGATGTGTATTTAATATCAAAGCAGTGACATCTAATATCCAAATATGTCCCACGAAGGCATATTTAGACTCACAGTTCCAAATTCGTCTCCCAGAAGTTACACATATGTAATCAAAGCCACAAGAAACATACAACCTTGCTTATATAAGAGATGGTTGGTGACATGGGAACTCTAAACTGAGTGGCCTTCATTATAGCTCAACATAAACTGGGTATGGTGTGCGGTTAGACACAGGACCAGCAAAGTCTGGCACCCACGATGACTGGACTTCAAGGGCCACTCAGAGGCAAGTGCACAATACACTTGGATTGCTGTGTGTTATGAAGCTCCCACCCCTCTCCCCAGGTCATGCCTGCAGCCCCAGTTCCACCCAGCCCTCCCAAACACTCCTGTTTGGACCCACACCAAACAGCATGGTCGGTCGGGCACTCACACTCACACAAACACAAACCTCCTCCTAGATATTTTTAAACCAAGGCTAGTTCTGCTGTCATGGCAACCGCCCCAAACCCATCACCATAGCAACCCAACGTCAGCTTTCCAAGCACCAAATCCTGGGGGATTGTAAGGCCCCAATCAGAGGTGGTGGAGGGGGCTGCACCTTCTCCCTTCATCCGTGCCACCCCAGTGTGTTCAGGGGGATGGTTACTCAGTCTGGACAGGGTCCAGGACCAGGGCCACCAGAGACCCAGCCCATGCAAAGAAGGACAGCTTCAACCCCTTCTCTCTCTCCACTGTTGTGTGCAGGAGTTCACTGTCGCACAGGTAGGCTCTGACTTGGACACACAGGAGCCGGGGTTTGAATCCTGGCTCTGTCATTTACATGCGGGGTGACTTAGGCATATCCTTACTGCTCAGAGTCTTACGCTATTAATTCAGAAAGTGTCCCATTCACGCTTAAGTCCTTGAAGAATCACTCTGTGATTCAGTGGCAAGAGGTCCATATCTGGACTGGTGAGCGGGCTCAGCAGGTAAAGGTATTGCCAGCCAGCTGAGGACCTGAATGTGATCGCTGGAGCCCGCACTGTGGAAGGAGAGAAATGACTCCTCAAGTTGTCCTTTGACCTCCAACACACATGTGCGCTCGCACACAAATGAAACATAACTAAAAAATAAAAGTACAGGCGGGCAGAGTCTAACCTTCCTAGCTTCTGACTTAATATGAGTGAATGTGATGGATTGTCTTTCCCTGAAACAAACTTGGGGTAAAGAGTTCAATCAATCACACAGGGCTGCTGGGAACATGTCCCAACACTGAGAGGCATGGCTCGCTGCTTTAAGAATTTTGTAGGTACTAACTAATTTAAGACTTAACCATAGCCGTATGGTTAGGTTATTATTATGATTTCCCTTTTGCAGAAAAGGAAACAGGCCTGGAGCGTGTGCTGTCACCTAGATACTAAAGCTTTTTTAGGGAGTTTATCTATGACCTTGTGGATTCTAGCCAAGAGCTCTAGTGCTGAGCCACACCCCAGCCCCTCACTGGGGGATTCTAGGCGGGGGTTCCACTACTGGACTATACCTACAGCCTCTCACTGGGGACTTCTAGGCAAGTACTCTATAGCTGAATGACACTTCCTTTTTTTTTGAGATAGGGTTTCCCTGTGTAACAGTCCTAGTTGTCCTGGAACTAGCTCTTGTAGACCAGGCTGGCCTCGAACTCACAGGGATTCGCCTGCCTTTGCTGGGATTAAAGGCTTGTGGAACCATGGCCTGGCTTTTATTATTTATTTATTTATTTGAGACAGGGTTTCTTTGTGTAGCTTTGGAGCTTGTCCTGGAGCTCACTCTGTAGACCATGCTGGCCTCGAATTTAGATCCCATTGCCTCTGCCTCCTGAGTGCTGGGATTAAAGGAGTGTGGCTACTATCCCTATTTTACTTTTTATTTATTTTCTTTTCGATACAGGCTCTCTCTCTCTCTCTCTCTCTCTCTCTCTCTCTCTCTCTCTCTCTCTCTCTCTCTCT